TTTGTTTTATTATAATTGAATAATTGTAAATGAAATTATCTTTATTCTTTTGGACGGTAGAGTTATTCATGTTACTTTTGGAGATACTACGGTCCTGTTACGGACCATTTTGTCGAGGTTTGTAACCGTTAGATCAATTGTCATCGATGATTACATGATAATCTAACGGTTACAAACCCCAACGTAACGATTCCGTAACGGGACCATAGTATTTCCGGTTACTTTGAACCCTTAAATTCCATAATAATCACTAGCAATTTAATGGTTGATTTTTTTTTTCTTCCGACATAATATAATGCATGATAATGTTCAGATACTCATTGCACGCATATTAAGATGTGTCCATCAGCCACAAAACAATTAGATGCGTATAATTTTGTAACGACTGTGATAATATTGAGACTCATTGAAATTCATTATTTTTGCCCTTCTTTTACTCAATTATATTGTTCCTCAACTTGTCTTTTGAATTAATTGTGCCACCTTAAACTTCATAAGTCGAGATTTTGACATGAGCGGTTGATATTTTTCCATACTTCATTCATCCAATAGAGTCTAACAAAAGTTTGTGTCATAAGTTTTCCATTAGCCCCACTTTTCTTGTCTTTCATTACCACACATAACACATGCACATATTTTGTATTGGCATGCATTTGATAAGATTTTTTTATTAGTCAGTCACGCAGTATCCGGAACTATGCCCCAATTAATCCGTTAGTCGACCCGGATCGCACACCTGGCAGTGGTGGGTGAGTCTCCCAATAAGAGTTTTTCGCATCTACAAGGACTCGAACCCGAGGCCTTGCTTAATCGAAATCAAGCTGCTTACCACTTGAGTCAACCCCTCTTGGTGCATTTGACAAGATTTTGATTATAAGTTTATTTTCTTTCAATTTGTTGAGAATTATAAAGAATTATGAACATATTAATTTTGATTTTTTAGTTATAAAGTATTTGATAAAGCTAAGATAACTAAAAACATTTTCCCTGATTGGATATATATGAACAACTAAGTATGGGTTTATTATAATAAAACAATTTAAAGAGGAATTAATAACGGCAGAATATTATCAGGAAAATGAAAGTTCTTACGAGAAAAGGAAAAATTTGCATTAAATTTAATTTGCTGTAATATTAAGTACCACCAGTAATTGGCTATCATAAGATGATAAGGATGTAGACAATCATCTACTTTGGACAATCACTAAGGAACAATAATAATTAAAAAAAAAATATTACCCAGTGATTTTCTCAATAATTGATGAATATTTTTCACTGCTTAAGTTTAAGGCCTTTATATGTTTTTTTTTTTTTAGCGGCAAAAGTAAATTTATAAATCAAAACTGGTGTTCGAACGACCGACAGACGACTTACAAAACAAAAGCTTAGTGGACAGCTACATGCAGGCACCTCACACGCAAATGTACATAGTGGGTCCTTTATATGTTTGATACACTTTGTTAAAAAAAAGGGGAAATATACAGTTATTCAATATATATAAAGTCGTAATTAATCATTATGAATGAGTCATAAATAAAAATAATAATAATTTAGAAATTTATGAAAAAAATAAACCATAACCTAGTTATTAACAAATAGTGAAAATTAATATAGATAATTAAAAAAAAATCATAAATATGAAGTATAGATGGGAGTGTAAATTTTAAAAGGTCGGGAGAAATGTGTTACAAGGCTGAAATGATAGTTAGTTATGGGCCTAAATTGCAGTTCCAGCCCAAAACTCTTCTACACTGTGAATATCAGTCCATTTAATAAAGCCCAGACCAATCACACATTCGTCAGTCCACTATTGACTATTGGCGCCTACTAATAAAGGACTTTAAAACGATAAATATCTTGGCGCCTTTGCTTCAAAATGGGGAGACTTTCCCTGCAAAATTATAGTATTATACAGCATAAAATTGAACTATATCAAAAATAAAAATGAAATAAATTCACAAAAAGAAAATAATAATAATAATAATAATAACAAAAAATGAAAGAAAATCGACACAGTAGTACCTTGTGCATTGAGTTGCATCATAATCAACTTCTGCTAGTACAATAGTCTCTTCATGCCCTGAGGTTGCAATAACTCTACCCAACTAAAAAAAACGAAACATTCGACAAGTGAGGACCGAGTTTCAGCATGTTAGTTTATTTTTATTGATTTTTTTTGTTGTTTTCTTTTTTTTTTTTTCCTAGTACCGGATCAATAAGAGACGAGTGACCCCATATCGCGTAAGACCCGGCTGAATCCCTAGAAGGAGAGCAAGTAGCTACATACAACTTAACAAAAACACGAATTTGCTCGTGATCAAGAAACATTTGAAGACTAAAAATGCCTCATAAATTGGCGGCCTTTTGATCAAGAACCGTGCTAACTATTTCAGTTAGTACACACAATGAGGTACCTGATTATCCACTGCCCTGCAAGTTTCCGAAAAAATCGGATCATTATTACAAAACCGTTCACATCAAAAACATCGATTATGTCAACCGGATTATATAGCAATATATATGACGATACCTTATATTATTTTATTTTATTCAATTCTTTTTTCTTTTTTTTTTTTTTTGGGTGACAATATTTGTCGAAATACTAGCCTGGCTTTTTGCTCCAGCTCCCACAATGCTTCACCTGTGCTAATGTTGAAAGCCCCTGGGTAGCAAATCATATCAGCACCTGAACACATTGAAAATAAATAAATAAATAAATAAATGAAGGTTAAAATGCAATCTTGGTCCTATTAGATCTAATATGAATGTTCCAATTTAGGTCTCAATGGAGTGGCATATAACAATTTAAGTCCTATAATTTAATATTTTACAGCAATTTCAGTCAAATTGCAGTCATTTGATCATTAAATTTCCAATTTTGACGGTCAAAATGACTGAAATACCCACAAAAATTTAAATTACAGGACTTAAATTGCTAATCAAAATTCATCTGGGAATTTTGAGGGCCATAGATATGAAACTGCAGCAAAATTTTAAACCACAGGACTTAAAATGCTATATGCTATATGTCACTCCAGTGGGATCTAAAATTGCTACCTTCATAATTTAATAGGACCATATTTGCAATTTAGCCAATAGATAATATCATCGTGTCAAATTCAGATAACCGTGAGAGTTACAAAGAAAAGCGGTAAGACCTCTAGCTTCGTAAACCATCGCAAGCTCCGGGAAGCGGATATCGTGGCAAATGCCTATTCCGATCCGGCCAACATCTGCAAGTCCACTACAAGAAATAAGCCACCGATAGTAACAAATTCAAATAAAACAAACAATAATATTTCGAAACTACTTAATCCCCATACATATTTTAAAGATAGTGTACTTCTTTTAAACCAAACATATATAAAATTATGTAAACTAACCAGTATCGACAATTGTAGGCTCGGCCCCAGCTAAAAAGATATCCGATTCTTTGAACGAAATATCACCTGGAATATCAACATCAAACATATGGATCTGCAGGGAATAAATTAAAATTTCAATCTTTAACTATATATGTTAAAGTGTTTATGTTCGAAAAACATCGACTTTCACATCCTTACTTTTCTGTGTTTAGCTAGTAATTTCCCATTAGGCCCAAAAACGCAGCAAGTATTATGCAATCGGCCGCCACACCATTCGGGGATAGAACCTCCGATAATCGTGAGCCCTTCTCGTGAAGCGATTCTTGATAGCATTTTATATGTTGGTGCATTAATTTCGTCTTCGAAATTTTCCGCAAATCGCTCGAAATACTCGGTTGAGTAAGGGCAGTTCCACATTTCCTTTCCCCATATAAAGAGAGAAAATAAGAAATAAACAAGATTAAATTTTTTACATAATCTCAGAAGAAATGATCCACAACGTACCCCCAAATGTGGAGTTAATGTTTCAAAGATGCAGTACCAATACCCTTTCAGTAGACTAGGGCTGCAAACGAACCGAGCCGCTCGCGAGCGCTCGAGTTTGACCGAACTCGAGTCGAGCTCGACCGAACTCGAGTCGAGCTCGACCGAACTCGAGTCGAGCTCGAGCTTATATTTTGCCTTGTCGAGTGGCTCGAGATACATGTTAAATTACTAAAATACCTCATATATATATATATATATATATATATATATATATATATATATATGTTAGGAAGGTCCTTGATAGTAATTTTACCTTTCCACTTAAAAATTTTCGAGTCGAACTCGAGCCGAGCTCGAGCATTTTGATTTCTGACTTGACCATAAAAAATCAATTCAACTATAAAATGCACTAATAGGTCAGGGACTAATTTTTCCCAAAAAATTATCCCTTTTCTGAGCAGAAATTACATACAATTCACCAAGTAAGATTTGAAATTTGAGCTTTTCAGGGCTATATTTTACAGACAGTAATTCTTGAGATTATGTGAGAAATTATTCAAATAAACCAAACTTGTAAAAAAGTAAAAACCCATTTGAACTTACGGGTAAAACCACAAGATTTGCACCTTGTTTGGAAGCAGATTCAATCATGCTACACGCTTTGTCTATGTTACTTCTTTTATCTGCGGTAACTGAGATCTGACACAGACCAATCTTGAACTGTGTTCACCAAAAACAGGAAATAAAATTGAATAAATGAATAGATAAATAAAATTATTCAATAAAAAATAAAATTATACATATGTTCATAAAAAAAGAATACCTTGTTGAGCTTCGCCATGTCTGAGTTTCGGACAGACGAGAATGTCCTAATGTTCGAATCTTTTACCGAAAAAAAAAAAAACAAAAAAGTAGTGGACAAAAAAAAAAAAGAAAAAAAGTGGGTGGACATAAATGAAAACCACGTATTCCGTTAATACGTTTTCTGCACATTTTAATTGTAAAACGTATTCACGGAATACGTTTTCTTTTATAAAAAAAATGTAAAAAAACGTATTCAATGAATACGTTTTTTTGATTAAAATATATAAAAAACGTATTCACGGAATACGTGCTTTTTATGTTGGTCCAGTACCCTCTTTTTTTGTTGTTTTTTGTCCAGTTTTTATTTTTTTGTTAATAAATATATAAATTGCTCGTTCTGGTCTTGTGGACTTGTTTTCTTTCCGTATGAGAAGAGATCCAGACCGGTTGAGTGGTAGGCTCGTATTCTCGGGATCCTATGTGACAAAGTTATATGCTTTGTTACTTTGAAATTACATTGGGAAAATTTTACCCGACATTTTGAAATTATATCAACTAGTGCAATACTTGTGTACTACACGAATAATTGTTAATAAAGTATTTTTAAAATTAAATAATAATAATAACAATTATTGTTTAAATTAAATATATATGTATTTATTAGGCTAATTTGAAATTTTCATGAAAATTAATGAGTTGATTGAGAGTTTTCAAAATAAATCAAGGTTATATTAGTCAATCATTATAATTACCAGAGGTTCCCATACAACATAAGGGTTACATTAGTTAAATTATTATAGAATTACCAAGTTATTTTTTTAATATTTTTGAAATGTCTGAACCTGTAATTATTATTTAGAATAATATTATTCTTTATCCTTCAGCTATCTCAGTTGACATTGAATTTAATAACCACGAAATCACCATATAATCCACCTTTTTCCATTTCTTAAAATCATCTGATTCCTGAGGAGGTAGAAGAGTACCGTTGACGAAATCGAGCTTGTTTTTCGCGCCTAGTGCGATGAGAACAGCTCGCTTCCATGGTAGGAAGTTGTTACCATTCAGCTGGATCAACACCAGATTCATCCCAAAATGATCGGAGCTTTGAAGATGCATCAGATCGTCATGCGATAGAACAATCTCTCCGCCATTCGAATTGTCGCGTCGCGCCGCGCCGCGCCATGGAAAGGAGCGATCAAAGCTTCGTCAAATCAAGCTCTGATACCATGAACAAATTGCAGAGAAAACGGAGAAGATATTTTTGGGTAGAAAAATTCTCCTTCTGTGTCTTTTTTTCATTAATAAAACTCAACGGTCAAATTACAAAAGAAAAGTTATTTATACTAACTAAAAACGAGAAACACGACTTAGCAAGAAAACAGAAAAGAAAACATATTAAGACTAACAACTACTAAAGCTAACTAATAAAATGTTATACTAACTATCTCAACTACTATGTTGGTTGCTTTTGCCCTTAAACTAGGCTGGATTTACAATATATTTGTTTCACAAATCTGTCAACTCTAAGCAAGCACGAGTATTCACATGAGAGCAACGTGGTCACAAATCCAGTCCATTGAAATTATAAGTTTATATTGAAATGATGTGTTATAATGCCTTGTTCTATCATTAAAATCTTGGATTGTCAAGCCCTTTAATTAGTTAGTTTGGTACTTTTTATGGTTATTATGTTAGTGTTGACGCATGAGACTTCTTTATTTGCAATTCAGGTTACGAGCAGAAATCAAGGATCTGCAATTCAGGGTATGAAAATATTTAGTATATACCATCTCTACTAATTTGATCTTATGTGGTGGCTCAACGATTAGACCTTTAAACATTTGGATCCTTGTATTTGCAGTCTCTTCGACTCGAATGCACATTTGCCGGTCTTCCTGTTTCGAATGCACATTTGCCAGTCTTACTTGTTTTAGTTATGGACCTTTTTATATGCTTATTGTTTTTTCTATGCTGCTCTGAATTTTCCACAATAGATGTTTGCTATAATTCGTCTTGCCCTTGGTATAGTTGAAACGAATTGTTTGATAAATCCTCCCTATATATAATTCCCGAATGCGCTGAGCCTACATGGTTGTTTCTGGTGCTTCGGAATCTTACTTGGCGAAGAATAATGCTTCGTAATTAGGTTTGGACAAATAATATTGATATATTAATAATTAATAATCTAGGTTTGGACATTCTATAAATATTATTTAGCCAACTTAGGTATTTTAATATCACTTGTACTAATATAACCCTTTAATTCCTTGTAATTTTACATAGTGAGACACTAAATGACTAATATATCCCTGACTTTTGATTTGTTTCCTTCAATTACCTATTGAATTGTAAATGTATTTTAAAAGATGATAACTTTTGTATTTCTTATCGGTTTTACATATATAATATATCAAATTAATCATCTTTTGATGATCTTCGATTTGACATCCATATTGTATATATTGAAATAAATAAATTATATTTATATTTATAATAATAAAAAATAATTATATTTATTAAAATTCATTAGAAAAATAAAATTATTTCTCAATTGATATATTTATGTTTAATGTAGTTATATGTTGTAAGTTAAAAAAATTATTATAATATAACACAGGCAAGTCGCACAAATAAAAAGTGGCATACTAAATATATAATAATATATATTTTTATAAAAGGTATTTAAGTTTTAACTATTTTTTTCTCATTAATTTTAGATTTTAAGAAAAAAATTAGCAAACACCCGTGTAATACACGAGAGTTGTACTAGTTATATACTAACCGATAAAAATTTTATTAAGTTTTCCAATGCACATTTAAGATTTATGTTGATCATGTGTTCTAAAAATAATTTTAAAAGTTTTAATAGGCATGGACATGGATAAGAGTCTAACCATAATTCAGAACATAAATTTTTTTTTGAAAATTTCAAGCTCCACCGAACTCATGAGAGACGTGCCGGTCGCGATGCTCTGCGGCGGCTTAGGAGCGGCACACTTTTGGGGCTTTTTTCTTCCGACAATTTCACACCGTCTCTTTCTTCTGTCGAGGCCACCGAACTCGCCTATGGATATGCTATTGCTTAATAAGCTCTTACAGTTCCGCTTATCAATTTTGACAAATATTCTCTTAGAATGGATTATGGATAGTTTGATTTTGCGTTCTATTTTGCATTCACGTTTTTTTTTTATCCTTTTAATTCATGAGTTTAGATCCATATTTTACTACTACTCAGATATGATGAATACAAAGAAATTGAGAAAACTAAATATCCTAAAAACATTTATTATTAATTCATAATCGACAGAAAATTATATGCTGTCTCAAAGTAAAACCTAATAAAAAATTGTGAAAAAGAGCATATATAGTATATACCATAGAACAAACATAAACTACTTCAAAATACAAAGCATTATTCTCTTCATGCAACTATTAAACACTATCCAGACACAAAAATAAAGAAGAAACATCAAAGGAGCAAATTGTATAAATAAATATGACTACTGATTGACCTAGTTATCTACACTGCCCAATGGGACTTCAACCTCAGTTGCAACAGGTGGAGGAGCAATGTAATGCTCTTCTTCCTTCGGTGGATGAATGGTGACGAGATCGGGTAAGGGTGTAACCGGACCCTGCTTCCCTTTCGGGTCCCAGTCGAGCATTATCTTTACTTTGATACCAAGAACACCCTAAAATTAATTATGTTTTGTTCAAGTCAGATCACAACCCAAAGGGTTTTGTTTTCAGTTTTCACAGATTGGATTTTTTAATTCCATATATTTGCAAGATAATCGGGGATCTTTTTATTTTTATTTTTTTTTCATTTCATGAAACTACACACCAACTATATTTTTGAAAATTTCCCCTCACAACAAATGCATAAGAAAATAAAGAAAAATGTGACTGGATCTTGCCTGTCTGAGAAGAACATGCCTCACTGCAGAGTCGATGTATTCTTTGACAGGTTGGCCAGAAGATATCATGTACCCGTCCTTGAATTTCATTGCCTTGGCACGTTGAGCCCTAAGCTTCCCACTAACAATTACCTGCATAATTGCATCAACGATTAAATTGGAAATCAAAGTCAAGCAGCTCTATGCAATTTTTGCAGGAAGATTAGAAATCGTTACCTCACAGCCTTTGGCGCCACTGTCCATGACAAATCGTAACACACCATAACAGGCCCTGGAGAGAAACAAACTTCAATGAGACCACCTCCATAATATGAGAGTTTCAAAGGTGCTTTCAAGTGCAAGCATTTCACTACGAACAAGATACATCTAAAGGAGAATTTTCCAAACTTCATAAACACGAGGAGTAAAAACATTAAACTTGCTGAGCGATCCAGACACTTCAATTCTTCAAATATCAGCATCAATGAGGAATCTCTTCAACTCAAGCTTCAAAAGGAAAGACTAAAAACCTATCTATGAATGTACTCAATGTCCCCATATTCAGATCAAAGCATTTAGAATCTAACTTAGTCTATTTCACACAAACTACAAGAAATACGGGAACCAACATTTAGATGTAGATCAGAAAATTCATGTGGGAGTATTTAGAAAACCCCATTCACACTGGAGCAAGTAAAGAGGCCAACCTAACTCCAGCAAATCATTATAAGCACCGGTCTCTGTTCTCTGTCCAACAGATAAATTTGGAGAAAGAAACATATAACAACCAATGCCGTACTACAAACAAATGTTACCTAGACGACCATGAAGCAGGCATGATAAAACTGGTTTAACAAGAACAAAAGATATGTTCCTTTCCTAGCGAGCTGTGCAAATTGCAAAATATACATGTAGCTGCAATGTAGCATGGGGCCTAATCCATTTTTCCCTCAGTCAATAACGTTCATGATTCAACACAACAAGAAGGTCAGCAAGCAGGGAGGGACGCAAACCTGCGGACGGCAAGCCCTCCAAGAAGCTTATAGCGTAGGGACTCAGCCTGAGCAATTGCACATAAGCCCCTGTTGCTAACTCTCTCGGCATATAGCTCAACACTGTTTTCCGGGAATTTAAACCTCTTCTGAACAACAGAGGTTAATTCTCTAATCCTTCTCCCTTTCTCACCTAGATAATCACAAAGCAACCAATCAATATAACTGCGAGCAAAAACTCAGACAACAAGTCCTACAATTGAATACTAAACACAGGATTCACCTAGTCAGCCATGTAAAAACACAATCTAAAATCAACCATCAAACGAGACTACACAGTATTCCCCTAGTTATGCACAATCTAAAGCCAACCATCAAAGGAGACTCGTATCTAGATCGACATTAAAAAAAAGGGAAAAAAAAAAGACAGAAAATTTACCAAGAACGTTTTGAGTACGAGTTGCCCTGATTATAATCTCGGTGCGCACGGGAGTAACCCTCACCTCCACGCCGGAGTACCCGTCCTCCGCCAGCTCTCTCGTCAGCAGCTCGTTCAACTCCGCGAAAAATACCCCATCAGCCACAAACTATTTCTCGAAAAAAAAAAAAAATCGATGAATTAACAAATAAACGCAATCACATAACAGGTTAAAATCAACTATACGAGTAACAGGGATACAGACCTTTCGTTTTTTGCTCATCTGGGTCGCCATTGTTTCTCCTTTGGCTAGCTAACTGCACGTTTAGAGTGTGAAAAATTGTGAGCTGCAAGAGAAAAATGATAAACGGCGGCTGTCAAAGGTTTTGGTGTGCAGTGTTTATAGTGCAGTCATATGTGTGGGGTGAAGGTGCTCTACTGCTCTATTAGATTTTAGGGTACACGAAGCGGAGCACGATAGAATTTCGTTGGGATGTTGTCTATTGTGCGCCGAGTGAGTTTTA